GAAAAGGGTAATCGGTGTATTGACAAGTAATATTGGTGAAATGAAGGAACAAGCCAAGAAATCAGAGCAAATGGTTCATGAAATTACTGCGGATATCAAACAATTGGATAATGCTAAAAGGAATTTAACTTCATCTATCACCATGTTAAATAATCTTCATATTCTCGTTGAAGGGGTTGATAAACTCAGGTAAGAATTGGATGAGTTTGTAAACAAATCCAAATGTCATTTGGTTTGTTTTATTGCTTTAAATTTGTTTATCGTTTTAATTTATTCTCATTTTTTTAATTACAGTGAAGCTTGTTCCAAACGTAATTATGGAACTGCTGCTGGTATCCTTCAAAGTGTAAATGATGTTTTAAATCAATTGGATAAACATCGACATATTCCTCAGATTAAACAACTTTCAAGTCAATTAAATGATATCACCGATTCCTTAGCAGAACAGATTAAAGCTGATTTTAAAGGTGTACTTGAAGGTAGACCTAAATCTAAACAAGGAGCTGCTATTTCACAAAGTCAATTACGATTATTAGCCGAGGCCTGTCTTGTTGTTTCCACCATGTCTCAAGATGGTGATAAAAATCCTGTTAAAGATCAGCTTCTTGAATGGTTCATAGACTCAGAATTGGAAGAGTATAAAGCTTTATTTCAAGATAATCAAGATTTAGCCTGGTTGGATAAAATTGATAAACGGTATAATTGGCTGAAGAAACACCTAATTGAATTCGAGGAAAGATTTGGTCGCATGTTTCCTCCCAAATGGGAGGTAAGTGAATGTATTGCAGTTGAATTTTGTAATTAACCGCTTCTCAATTAAGCAAGGTGATGCTAAATCGAGCCAACGAGATGAATGTCCGTCTACTATTATTTGCATTTAGCAAAACTGTTGCCTTTGAAAATCTATTGAATCAAAGGTTTACCGGAGTAACTTTGATCAATGAAGAGATGAGTAAAGAGAATTTACTAAATCCATTTGCTGGTTTAATTACTCACTGTTTTGAACCTCATTTGAAAATCTATGTTGAAGCGCAGGAGAAAAATTTATCCCAATTGATTGATCAATTTATCGATGAATATCAGAAGCAAAAGTTTACCAATGATCGAAATGTATCAGAAGTTTTTCCTTCCGCTGGAATCCTTTTCTCACAATATAAAAATTGTCTAGTTCAATGTGTCCAACTGAGTACCGGTCGTCCTTTGGTTGAATTATCGTTTAAATTCAAGAAAAATCTGGAAGATTATGCGACTCGAGTTCTAAACAACAATCTACCTCGAATTAAAACTTCCAGTTTATCAGCTTCTGGAGTTTCCGTTATAAATGCCGCTATTTCGGCGGCAGGTCTTCTTCAGATCAGTCTAAAGGAAGGAGAGGTCGTTCGATACACGAAACAAGATCTCTGTCAAATTTGCTGTATCCTTTTAACTGCTAATTACTGTCTGGAAACAGTTCAACAATTAGAGAAAAAACTTCAAGAAAAAGTGGATAAACAATATGTTGATAAGATAAACATGAGCTCGGAACAAGATTTATTTCATAGGTAAATATTTACAGCGAGAATTTGATTGTTTTTTCTAATCTCTTTTCAATTATTCTAATTAGAATTTTTTTTTCTTCTTCCTTCCTTTTCATTTTAGAATAATTTTAAATTGTATTGATTTGCTAATCCAAGACATTGAATCAGGATGTGAATTGGGCTTTTCTCTTATGGTTAAAACTCAATGGTCAACAATTGGAACACCAATTGATCAAAGTCCTTACGTTAAATTAATCGTTGATAATTTACAACAAATATTCCCTTTTATTCGTGAAAATTTACAAGATGCGAGAAAATATTTTACCCAATTGTGCAATAGATTCGCTCAGATTTTCATTCCAAAATTTATTGGTTATTTATTCCGTTGTAAACCTTTACGACAAGAAGGAGCTGAACAATTACTTTTAGATACTCATCTATTGAAAAAAGTATTACAAGAACTACCTGGTTGGGAATCAAATGTTAAATCAGCTCCAGCCTCTTATGTCAAGGAAGTGATCAGAGGGATGACCAAAGCTGAGATGATTTTAAAAGTTGTTCTGGTTCCTCATCGAGATGTTGCTCATTATATTGAAAGTTACATCAAACTACTTCCTGATTCCAATTTAGAAGAATTTATCAAAATTTTAGACATGAAAGGAGTTCGAAGACCAGAATCAACAGTTCTAATTGATTCATATCGAGTAGCACCTAAAGGAGATGCTAACGAATCAAATTCGATAACACAAACAACTATCGACCAAGAATCAAGTAAAATCAAAAGACTTGAAAAGCTTATAAAACGATCTTGATAACGACGATAATTAATTAATTATTATAAACACATAATTTAATACTTTCTAAAGTAAGCAAAATTACAATAAGTTGATATATTTATGTTGTTTTGTTAAAAAAACAACCAACAAAATCAATTATATACAATGTACATTTATTGAGGGTGATCAAATTAACCTTTATTTATATTATTATTTATAAATTAACAATTAGAATCTAAACTGTCTAATCCACCATCACGTTTATAATATTCAGCTAATAATATCATAACATCAGTTTCTTCATCTGTTAATGAGAATTTATTTTTCAACGATTCTCGTGATTTAAGGTTTGCTTTTTCAAATCTTTCCCCAATTCGATCAAGTTCAGCCTCTGGTCGAATACGAAATGGAATATACTTTTTTAAAGCTTCCATCATATTGTCATTGGAACTTGAACAAAGTTGACAAATTATTCCAAAAACTTGACTAACTTTAAGTGATTTAACTTCATTTCGTATAGAAACATAATCATTTAAAGGTAATTTAGCTGTTCGAAGTCCTCTCGTTGTGATTTAATGGCTGATAAAGGTTCATTGGTTAAAGTATCAATCATCCCTCCGATAATATAAATATCATCAGGATCATATTTAAGCACATTATCGGTGTCCGCAGTTAAATAAACTAACCTTTCCTTTGGAAATAGATCAAGATAAGATTTGGAAGTTGCCTCGATCATATTAGATGATAATGATTTAAAATCAAGATCAAATATTGAGCAACTGGACTTTCTGGTTTAAGATTACAGAAAAATAATTCAATCGGTTCAGGCGATTCTTTTAAAATTCCCATGCTAATTTTAACCTGAGCAGTTATCGTCATGTGTTGTTTAGCGGTCATATACTGGTCGTAATCAAAGTCGAATATAATTTTCTGTGTTCCCGCTAGTTTCCATTGAGCGATTCGACTGAGGCAATACTCACGCATTCGCTTTGTGATATTATAACTACAAACAGGACAAATGTTGTGGAATTTGTAAATCGGTTTACCGGTTTCTTGGTCGAAAGTGACCTGAGTTCAGGTTTAGGTCTTGAGAAAATGGCCTCTTTGATCTCTTGCTTATATTCAACCATAGACTCTCTTTTAGCTTGTAACTTTCCCATACTTTTAATGTAACTTCTGATTTGTCTTGGTTTCATTTTCACCATATAATCAACGTCAGTTGCTTTCAGAGTTTCCGGCCTAACAGATTCATCGATGGAATAAAATATCTCAATTATTTCTGATAATTTAGTCTGATATTTTCCTCTTCTTTGATTAAACTCTTCCATTAATGATCCAGTAATATTTCTTTGAGCAATCATCTTATTATGATTGTAAGTTTCAACTGGACTTGATTTAGTTTCCTCAGTTTGACAAGATTGGTTTGGCGAATTTGGTTCAGTGGGTAAACATTTTCTCTTCTCACTTGAAGTCTCGGAATAATTAGTATTACTATAAATATTTAAATAGAAAAAAAAGTCAAAATCAAACAAATTTTAATATAAAAAGAGAAACAATTAGAAAATAGTCTAATTACCTTGCAATTGATTTAATTGAAAGTGAATTAAAAACTTGAGACATTAAAATTACTCGATTCCTTAGTGGTTGTACTCGAGAAACGATTGTTTTAAATGATAACATGATACCAGAGAATCAATTGTAACTTCGACACAAAAAAAAATCAATTCAATTGATCAACTAATTAACATGTTAGGAGAAACAAAAAATTAAATCAAAATTAAAACGAAATGAAAACAAAAACATTAACATGTGTTTCTCTCGAGCGCCTCCTGGTGGATAGAAATCAGTGAGTTCCAATTGTGTTCAGATTATTGTTTACAAAATTTTTCTGATAATTAATTGATTAGTTTGATTAGTTTTCTTTTTTCTATTCATAGTAATTCAAAGATAAGCAACATGTTTACTTTAAGAAGAGTTCTATCTGGTGTTTCTTTGCTTAGAAATGGATCAATAACCATGAAGAAAATAATTGAATCTGATTTTCTAAAATCATCTCAATGGTAAGTTGAGTTAACATGTGAAGAGATTTTAATTTTGATTTTGATTTTAATTGTATTTCTTTTTTTTTGTTTTATTTTCGGGGTTTTTCATTGATATTTAACAATAGTAAATTGAGTATTATGTCTCAAAATATTGGAGAAAAGGTGAATTTTAATGGACAGAATTTAGCTAAAAGTAAAGGTGATGGCTTGGAATTCAGTAAAATAACTGAAGCTGATAATTTGAAATTGTATTTTAATAAAGTTAATCAAACAATTGATTCAACTTCAAAGGATCGTCACTTTGCTGTTGTTTACATGTACAGTAAACAGAAACTTTTAACCGAAGGTGATATGTTTTACGTGTTAAAAGATTTACCTGCTAATCCTGGTGATAGAATTAAATTGGAAAAGATAATGATGATTGGAAATGATAAATTAACTCTCGTTGGAAGACCTTTGCTAGATCGTAATTTGGTTCATGTGGAAGCGACAGTTATTGAAAAGACTCATAGTCACACTTTTATGGGCTTGTGGCCAAAAGCGTTCTCATCGTTTCCGTCGATATTATTTCCAACGTAAACCATTAACGATTTTGAGAATTAATGAAATTCGTATTTGTCATCATATTAACGAATCACATAGTTTTCCAATAATCATTTTTGAAATAGTCAGTTGGTTTATATAACTTTCGCTTTGTCAAACTACTTTTGCTTGTGATTAAATATTTCAATCAATTTATTTAGTAAATTTAATTGTTACCATTCTAATTTTTGTGATTTTTGTCGAAAATTTGTTTTCCACTTTGTCGATATCAATATGTCAACTTACCAACCACCTCACCCACTACCTTACCAGCCATCTCACTCACATCAACTTTTTTTCTCATCTTCATTCTTGCCTCATTTCTGTCTCACACTCGACTTGATAAGCGACTTGAGTCCCTAACATTTCATGTCGTTAATATTGTAATATCATCCTCATCTTCTTATCGTTTTCATCCTCATCCTATTCAAAGATATTACCTCATTGTTTTATTGGTTGGATTATAAGGAGATAATCTCAATCAATAAAAGTGAATTTTAAACTCCAACAAAAAATCCTAAATTCTCAATCATCTCATGATAATTGTGTGTTAACCATTTTGATAGTTAATTCAATTTCTCTTGAATTTGTTTTCGTATAACAATTACAACCACCAAACAAAATGCTTCCATTTGAAACTCCAACCATTTTTGAACGATTACCTAAACAACTTTTCTCAGTACCAAAAGTTGTTTCCAATCAGAAGGATAAATTTGAATCCGATGAACTATTTCGTCGATTAAGGAGGTATGTTAAACATTATAAGTTAATTAACTTCAAATCGATTGATTAATTGTCGTTATCACATTTTGTTTAGATTCGTTATGTTGGTTATAAAGATCGCCCTTTAGTTGAACGTCGACTAAGATTTCAAACTGGATGTCGAGAGGGAACAACAGATCTCGTAAGTTAATTAATACTAATTAACAATCATCAATCAGTTAATTATATATCATCAGATACTAATCAATATAAACTTTTACCTTTCCACCAATCACCAGGTATTTATACCAACGGGAAAAATCTATAATTAGTGTTTAATTCATGTGTATTTACAATCAACAATCAAATTTGATTATTACAAAGATTTCACTTTGGTTCAACTGCTCACCTTGATCATCATCATCATCTTACCTGCAAGTGATGCACTGATTTTTTTGTCTCAATGTACAGTTAATAAAATGTTAATTATTATTATTATTTTTTTGCTTGATTATTTTGCTTACAATTTAATTAATTGTGGAATTGCCTTGATTGACCATTTAATACATTGACCATCCACTTTCCCACCCTGATAATCATCATCTCATCTAAATCTATTCCTTGATTCCTATTACTACCACCACCGATTTACTATTAATTACCACCTTGATTAGTTAACAATGATGATTAACAATATTTACCTGCTAATCCTGGTGATAGAATTAAATTGGAAAGATAATGATGATTGGAAATGATAAATTAACTCTCGTTGGAAGACCTTTGCTAGATCGTAATTTGGTTCATGTGGAAGCGACAGTTATTGAAAAGACTCATAGTCACACTTTTATGGGCTTGGTGGCCAAAAGCGTTCTCATCGTTTCCGTCGATATTATTTCCAACGTAAACCATTAACGATTTTGAGTTAATGGAATTTCTATTGTCATCATATTAACGAATCACATAGTTTTCTCAATAATCATTTCATTTTCCTTCGAAATTAACTTAAAAACTTTTGCGCCTCAGTTACTATGACGACCGATTCGCAACCAATTTTCAAATTTTGAAATAGTCAGTTGGTTTATAACTTTCGCTTTGTCAAACTACTTTTGCTTGTGATTAAATATTTCAATCAATTTATTTAGTAAATTTAATTGTTACCATTCTAATTTTGTGATTTTGTCAAAATTTGTTTTCCACTTTGTCGATATCAATATGTCACAAAATACCATCGATCCTTTCATGTTCTTTGTATCAACAAGTGAAGAAAAGAAAAGAATTTCTTTTCACAAAATATGGTTTTCAAGAACTTTATGAAGATGGAACTACAAGAACGTATCATGAGAAAATCGCCGATGAGCTAACACCATCACTGGATGAGATGATGTTGACTCTGGAAGAATCTGATTCTGTCCAACAACTACGCCTTTATGATTGTAATATGGTGATTTCTTTTACTTCACCATCACAATCGCCATCACAATCACCATCACAATCACCTTCACCATCGCCAGTCTCTTCACCCATCTTACCAACCAACTCGCCAACCTCATCAACTAACTCACCATCACCAGTCAACTTACCAACCAATTCACCATCACCATCAACATCACCATCACACACCACCTCACCAGTTAAGTTACCAACCAACTCGCCAACCACTTCATCAATCATTTTACCAACTTCCTCGTCAACTATCACCATCACCATCACCAGCCAACTCACCAGTTAACTTACCAACCACCTCGCCAACTAACTCACCATCACCGACAAATCACCGACCAACTCACCATCAAACACAACCTTACCAACAACTTATCATCACCATCACCAGTAAACTCACCAACCTCGCCAACTAACTCACCATCACCATCGCCATCACACACCACCTCATCAGTTAACACCAACCACCTCACCCTACCAGCCATCTCACCATCACCAGTCAATTTACCAGCTACCTCACCAGACAAATCACCAACAACTCACCCTCACCATCAACATCAACATCGCCATCAATCACCACCTCACCAGTTAAGTTACCAACCAACTCCCAACCACTTCATCAATCATTTTACCAACTTCCTCGTCAACTAACTCACCATCATCAACAACAATAAATTAGCCAATAAACTTCAATTAAACCATTACCAATGGTTGAATGTTGTGTAAATTCAATAAACACTCTCATTCCTGTTAAATTTTGTGTATTACCAAAGTCAACATTCCTTTATTACTTGGTTCTGATTTCTTCAGGAAATTCAACGTCATAATTGATTACGGAAGTGATACTATCACTATGCAATACAGAGGTGAAATAATCAAAATTGATCTCTGGTCTCCTAATCAATTTCCAATAGAAAGTGCCAATCAGTTGCCAACTGAACCTGGAAATGATTTTTCGCAACTGGTAAAGCAAATTCGAGAATCTATCAATCAATTACATTATGATTGCTTATAAAGAAAAGATTACTCGTTTGATCAAGAATATTCAAAACGCTTTGCTGTTAAGTTATATTCAGTTACCAACTGAAGTCGAAATAGATGAAGTTCCTCAACACAATGCTGATTTCTATCCTGATGAAGACCAACATATCATCAATCGATTCGGAATCAAATCACGAATTACCTGAACCAGATTTTACTGATATAAAACCTTTGGTGGACAATCAATTTGAATTAGATAATAAATTCATAGATCGCGATCAGTTGCCAACTGAATCAATTTATAATATTATAATAACTAATCCAGTCTACCGAAAGATTACGATAAAACATTTGATAATGGAATGGAGGTTAACCTACTGGACTACCCTACAATTTTACAAGTTTAAGAAAGTAAAATCGAGATTCTAAATTCAAACTTAGAAAAGAATTTTAGATTATCTACTAAAAATAATTCATAATAAGCGCTTTATTGTTTTAACAATCCATTGTTACTAAGACGACTGACCATTCGGTTGACAACCGAAAACCGATTCCCTCCATTATACTAGCTTTTCACTTAGTTTAAATTTGTGTTTATTTTGCTTATTTGTTTACTTTGTTTTCATTTTTTTGTGAACCTTAATTTGTTTCTTCCATGAATTGGAATAATCGTCGTAATTGGGGATTGGGATTACCAACCCCTGTTGCTGTCATTGCTGACCCAATTCAAGCTCTAATTGAAGCTCAACAACTTCAGAGTTTGATGAACCAGAACCTTTGACCATCAATGGATACGTCCCGAAAGATTTACAGATCAAGAAGCTGAAAGCTTCAAATATTTGCTGTGTCCTTTGGATCCATCAACTCACTCAAAACCAATGTTAACAGTTTGCCCTCTTTTTGTCTTATGTTTGACTCAGTTTGGCAACAAGTAAATTTCACTTGCCCTTTTCGATGTGTCCAACAGCGAAACTTTGGTCAAATGTTCCAATTCAGAGAGAGAAAGTGTTTATTTAGAATTAGAATTGATGTGTAAGTTCATTGATGCCGCTCGATTGTCTCTATATAAATGAACATCAATTGTGTACCAACAAAAATAAGGAGAGAAAGACATTGAAGATTACCAATCTTATTTCGACTATTTGAAAGACCAACAACAAGCAAGTCAACAAAAAGAAACCAAGATTCATCACTCAAACGGAAGAAATTGAATCAAGGGCTGGACTGGATTAGGTCCGCACGAGAGAGACCTGTTTTACCATGTCAAACTACATATTCGAGTTTATATATGGAAAGATCTAGTTCCTGAGATACAGGGCTTCAAAGTTGGATTTCGCCATAGAGCTCTATAGGTAAAATGAAGTTTTCGTATATGCATACCAATGTCTTTTACCTTTTTTATATATTATACCTATGGTATGAAGTATTATCATGAAAAATTAAGACTCTAGCTACCACGGTGAGTACTTTGTGATTTTATTCGTCTTTTTTACAATAATATAGAAGTACTAAATTTAGTTGAACATCAAATCAAGGTCACACAATAATGTCAAGGTCATCTCAAGGTCAAACTACGGTGAATAGTTTATGATGTTCTTCACTGGTAGAAATATGTATAATACGCTCGCTGTAGACGAGAATGATGTGTTTGGAGTATCTTCAAACTGTTATACGATATAATAAAATTTAAAAATAAGTGACGTAGCCATGCGCAATCAGAACTATGATTTATCAACAGATTCACGGAATCAACAAGATGAAAATTTTGTTTATCTTCTTGTCAATAATATCAATGGCTGAAGGCAGACTGTGCAATTGTTGTTCTTGGGTGGCTCAATTCCGTCACCAAAGAATGGTGAACAGGTTAAGTTTTATTCTCCGTATCCTTCTAAATCATGTCCCTGATCTGAAGGGCTGCAACGATAAAATTTGCATATACAACATATACAGCATAGTCAGTCCAGTATCTTCTGTTGGTGTATAAATACCGATTATGTGGATTCAATAGGTTATTTTAGTACAAAACTACGTGCAAAGTAAATGCAAATAGATTGTTCAATGACCCAAATGACCTTGACATTATTGTGTGACCTTGATTTGATGTTCAACTAAATTTAGTACTTCTATACAGTGGTTCATTAATTATAGTAAAGACGAATAAAGTCTCATAAACAACACGCTATAAGTACTCCGTGGTAGCTAGAGTCTTAATTTTTCATGATAATACTTTATAAGGTATAACATATATAAAAATCAAGAGGTAAAGACATTGGTATGCATATACGAAAACTTCATTTTACCCATAGAGCTCTATGGCGAAATCCAACTTTGGCCCATCTCAGGAACTAGATCTTTCCGCATATATAAACTCGCACATAATATGTAGTTTGACATGAGCTATATGTAAAAAATTTCAGGTCTCTAAACGTGCGGACCTAATCCGAAGTCTTACCGAATCAAGTAGTCGAATCGAGGAATGGAATCGAAAATCAAAGAGTTAGAACGGTTGCTAACCGTTGAAAGAGAAAATAACTCAGACCTTCGATCGAGATTATCTCAAGAAAATCGAGACAATACCGGAATTCAGGCCATTTCCAATCATCTCCGATGTTCGATTGAGCATAGAGTTTTGGAAGCAACTATAAGTTTCGGTGATAGACAAATTGTTATCAACAATTTAAACCTGAAATGACTGGACAAGATTTGATTGATCGGATTCGTGAGGAAATTGGTGAAGACCCTGGTCAATTATTGTTCATCCGTCACATTCCTATTCAACCCGAATTACGCCTGAGACAACATTCTTTGGGTCTCCGACCCTTTCATGCCGTCGCAATTGGATCAAGAAGAGTCGCTAATGGTCGTGGAAAATTAGGATCATGGGATTAGGACCTC